CAGTCCTGGTGGTCTCGACCGATTCCTAGGGACCGCGTAGATGGGGTCGGAGTAGATGGGGTCCGAGTAGATGGGGTCGGAGGATCGCGCTGTATCGTCGATGCATCGGCGATGTGGCTCGATGCGGAGCCCGACTTTCTCCACGCCGCCGACGCCGATGAGTCGCCGACGTCGGCGATGTATCGGCGATGCGACGAGGCCTTCCGACCCAATCTACTCCGACCCCATCTAGGAGCCCTCCATGACCCCAGACCCCAGACGTCATGCTTTGTTGCCACATCGTCGATCGCCCAGTGGTCTCGACCGATTCCTAGGGACCGCCTTTGCAGCCCGCGTCGTTTTTGGACGGTCCTGGGGTCCCCGAGGCCGAACATCGTAGAGCAGACGCCCGTCGTGCTTCTTCGCGACGCGAGGTGGTCTGACTCTCGGATCGTAGCTCGCATCTCTCACGGCTGCTCGGGACGATGCGGGCCCCCCCCCGGAACGCCCTCGGCGAGGCGGAGCCGTCGGGAGGCATTCCGAGGTTGGAAAACGTCCAGGGACCGAGGCCCTGCCCCCCTCGCTCCCGCTGCAGAGTGGAGGCGCGGAGACCGCGCCGGACCACTCGCGCCGGGACGACCTGGGCAGGTGAGAACAACTGGGTAGCCGAAGGCCAGACTGTCAGATTGGATTGGGCCCCAAGGGCCAATCTGGCTTGGCCAAACTGGATGATTTGGGTTATTCGCCAGACTGGATTCGCGTTGGCTCCCTCGCCAGATTGCCCCCGTTTGCCAGATTGGGCCTGCCAGATTGGGCCTGCCAGATTGGCTTCGACTACCCAGAACAAGCATTTCGACCGAGGCGTTCTCAACACATCCTCATGCTAGACATCGGCCAGGGCGACCTGGGCACGTGAAACCTATGGCGTTTCGCTCGAGGCGTCCTCAGCACATCCTCATGCTAGACATCGGCCAGGGCGACCTGGACACGTGAAACCTATAGCGTTTCGCTCGAGACATCCTCAACACATCCTCGTGTTAGACATCCGCCTGGGCGACCTGGACACGTGAAATCAAGCGTCTCGCTCGAGACGTTCCCAACATGCTGAGGCCAGCCTGGGCTACTCGGGGGCTCTGCCTGAGGCCAGCCGAGACTACCCGGGGCTGTCTGTGCGCAACCTGAGGCCTTACCAGCCCTGTCCCAGCCCCCCCCCCGCTCACTCGAGATCCGACGTTGCGAAACAGATGCGCCATCGCGAAAAATCGCGACTGGAGCCCTAGGCCCTAGGCCCCATCTTCCTGCGGCATTCTTCGAGCCGGATTGATTTGTGATGGCCCAGGGGCCCGAAACCGGGCGAACACGCCCGGCGCGACAAAATTGCAACGCCCAGATCTCAGGGCTCTTCTGGTCGTCGCCGAGCCGACTGGAGGAGGGGAGGGCTCGGGCGGGGCTGGGACGAGGACAAATCCGTTCCAGAGCATTCCAGAGCGTTCCGGAACGCTCTGAGAAGGCCGCGGCGCCCGCGACATCCTCCAGAACCGCCAGATCTCAGAGATTCTCGGGAGGAGGAGGAGGAGGAGGAGGAGGAGGAGGAGGAGGAGGAGGAGGAGGAGGAGGAGGAGGAGGAAGAGGAGGCTTCCTGAGGTGAGTTCTCGATTTGAATGGAGCACTGTGGTATCCACTCTTTCTCCTTCTTCTTCTCCTCCCCCTCCTCCTGCCTCCTCCTGCGCTGCTCGCTGGGTGGCTGCGAACTGCGCAACTGTCGCCACTTTCGTGGGCTCCTGGGAGGTCCAGCGGAGTGGAGGTGTACGCGCATACAGATGACACATCGCGGCTCCCTGGGTGGCTGCGAACAGTGCCACTGTCGCCACCCGCGTGGGCTACTAACAGGTCCAGCGAAGTGGACGTGTACGCGCATCCAGACGGGACCTGGCGGCTCCCCGGGTGGCTGCGAACTACGCCGCTGTCGCCACCTTCGTGGGCTACTAGCAGGTCCAGCGGAGTGGACGTGTACCATCCAGCCGGGACCTCGCGGCTCCCCGGGTGGCTGCGAACAGCGCCACTGTCGCCACCTTCGTGGGCTACTAGCAGGTCCAGCGGAGTGGACGTGTACCATCCAGCCGGGACCTCGCGGCTCCCTGGGTGGCTGCGAACTGCGCCGCTGTCGCCACCTTCGTGGGCTACTAGCAGGTCCAGCGGAGTGGACGTGTACGCGCATCCAGCCGGGACCTCGCGGCTCCCTGGCTGGCTGCGGACTGCGCCACTGTCTCCACGTCCGCGGGCTTTTGGGAGGTCCAGCGGAGTGGGGGGCAGCGGCCTCCTTGGGTGGCTGCGAACAGCTCCACTGTCGCCGCTTCCGTGGGCTCCTGGGAGGCACAGCGGAGGTGGGGACAGCGCATATCATTCTAGACCTCGCGGCGTCTGGTGCCTGTGGACTGCGCAGCTGTCGCCAGGTTCGCAGGCTCCTGGGAGGCACGGCGGGGTTGAGGGCAGCACAGATCATTTGAGACCTCGCGGCTCCCGGGGTGCTGCGAGCTGCGCAACCGTCGTCACTGTCGTGGGCTCCCGGGAGGCACGGCGGAGTGCAGGGCGCCCGCCTGGCGCGTGCCCGCATGGCGCGTGGCGCCGTCGCGTCACTTAGCGCGCGACGCTGCTGCATCATAGAGCGCAGAGCGCCAGCACGTCACGCAGCTCGTGGCGCTGTCCTCGGTGGCCCACTCCTGCGCGGGTGCGCGACGCGCGTGGCCCCACGTCGTTGGGCGAAGAATCTCAGAGTGCCGCATCTTTCGCAACGTGTTCTTGTGTGGGGCGTTCATGTACGCAGTCGCCTTGTGTGTAAAGAGGGTTGGCTACTCCACATTTCGTAATAAAGGGAGGGGGGTCTCATTTCGAGGGGGGTCTCTTCCAGGCTATCTTGGAGGGCCTGGGGGGGTCTGGGGACGATGTTTTGGAGGGTTCTCCCAGGGGGGGGGGTCTGAAATGGCTTGTCTTGGAGGGTCCAGACCCCCTCCCTTTTATTACGAAATCTGGAGTACGTCTCGGGTGGTTCTCATCACTGGAACTGCTCGATTGGAAGACAGCCGTACGATCATCCTAGATCGTGCCGGAACAGCTGTCCCAGGGATTGCGACGCCGCGGGTCCATACAGTTCTTGCGCCCGGAGAACGTTTGCTCGGTGCCTCGTTTGCTCGGTGCCGGTACCCTTCGGGACCTGGTTCCACGCCAAAGGCGTGCGACACTGGTCGTCCGTCTCGGGAGCACTCCGCCACGGGGCCATATCTAAGGGGCACGCAACCGACCGCCACTTGGAGGATCTGCGGAGCCTGGGGGTAAAAAAAAGAAGTTCGTGCGCCCTGAGAACCCTGAACCGTGCCAGAACACCGTTCTTGGCATGCCAACACCGCGCATCATTCATGTTGTTGCGGCCGGACGTTTTCACATCATGCCAGCAGACTTCTCCTGGGACTTCAGCCCTGCGAATCCTTACAACAGCTACAAGCTGTTATGGCGAATTGGCGCGGCGCCAGAGCGAGATTTGCATTTTGAGAAGGGTCTGCCGTCCATGTTTGAAGCTCTTGCGGCTCTTGCGCATGTGAAGAAACTACTGCGCGCAGTGCTAAGGCGAGAGCCACATTTTGAAACCCGGCCGCCCTCCATCCTTGAAGCGGTTGCGAACATTGAAGACAACTGCGCGCGCCGCTGAGACGAGGGCCACACTGTAACCACCTGCCCTGCATCTCTGAAGTTGCTGTTGAACGAGTGCGCGTGGCGCTGAGGCGGGAGCCGAGTTTTTTTAGAACGGACCGCCCTCCGTCCGTGAAGCTGTTGCAATCTCGAGCTTCAGGACCGGACGTGGTCGGAGAGTCAGGCGAAACGCCCGGCCCGCCGTGCCGATACGTTCGGGGGTGCGACATTGTCGCACCCCCGAACGTGTCACAGGGAGGAGTTGTTCAGAAGGACAAGGGGTGGTGGGGGAGGCGGGGGAGGACGACGAGGAGGAGGAGAAGGAAGAGGAGGACGAGGAGGAGAAGGAGAAGGAAGAGGAGGATGATGAGGAGGAGGACCAGTGTAAACCCAAGAGTCATCAACGATGTTGAAATGAACCCTCCCTCCAAGCTCCCTCTTCATAGACCCCCACAACGGTTCATTTCCATTGAGATGGAACTGCCTCGTTGGAAGACAACCGTTTGAAGATCCTGGAGCATGCCCGAACATTGTTCTCGGGATGTCAACGCCACGTATCAACCTGACTGCTGCGTCTTGACGATCCGGAATCGTGCCAGAGCGCTATTTTTGGAACTCCAACACCGTGGATCAACACAATTGTTGCACCCGCATACATCTGAACCCTTCCCAGAAACCATCTCTGCTACATAATCCGTGAAACTCTTGCAAATTTTTGAAAACGAATATGCGCGGCGCTAAGGCGGAACCACATTTTTTGAGGAACCGCCCTCAATCCGTGAATCTCTTGCAACTGTTTAAAACGAGTATGCGCGGCGCTAAGACGAGAGCCACATTTTGAAAACCACCCGCCCTCAATCCGTGAAGCCCTTGCTTTCTAAAAACGAATGCGTGCGGCGCTAAGGCGAGAGCCACATCTTGAAAACGACCCGCCCTCCATCTGTGAAGCTGTTGTCACCTCTTTAAGCTTCAGAGTCATCAGCGGTGAAGAAGTCTCAGGCGAAACGCCCGGCCCGCCCTTAAAGCTGGCCTCGGGGTGCGACAGGGAGACATGATCTATAAGGAGAAGGAATGGAGGAGGAGGAGGAGGAGGAGGAGGAGGAGGAGGAGGAGGACGAGGAGCAGGAGGAGGACGAGAAGGAGGAGGAGGAGGAGGAGGAGGAGGAGGAGAAGGACGAGGAGAACGAGGAGGAGGAGGAGGAGGACGAGGAGGAGGAAGAAGAGAAGGAGGAGGATGAGGAGAACGAGGAGGAGGAGGAGGAGGAGGAGGAGGAGCCCGCCGCCGTCCCCTGCCCCGCTCCGCGCCGTGCCGCGCACCCCGCGGCACGGGGGCAGAGGTCGCCAGTGCTGTGCACGTTCGGCAAGTGGCGCCCGCAGGACGAGTCCAGCCCGCCTCTGTCCAGGCCCCCGCGCCGCCAGTGTAGTGTGCTCGTGTGCTAAGCAATGCCCTAGACGATACCGTACACGCCAGCCTAAGTCAGATCCACTGTTCCAGACGACATCCTAACCAGCTTCCTGGTCAATTTCCCAACCAATCTCCTCAGCAATGTCCTAGGCAGCACCACCCAAAATATCCTAAGCCAAGTTGTACGCACTACCCTAAGCAGTATGCCCAACATTACCCCTAAACCGTATCCCAGCACCAGTCATAATCACTAGAGTCACCAGTGCCTGAAGCAACATTATCCAACACCATATCCTGAGCAGCATTCAGAGCAGCATCCAGTGACGCAATCTCCTGAGCACTGTCCTCAGCAATACCATAACCAGTGTGAATTAAGCTGTCCCAATCAGAGGCCGAGTTGATGTCATCATGGCTTATTGTGCGTGCATTTGTTTCACCTCTCAGATTCAAGTGCGTGCCGAATCCCTGTATCTCTAAGGCTTCAGAGCATGTCGCAGGTTTGTGTCTCACAGGTTTAAGTGCGTGTAGCGCTTGTGTCTCCAAGGCTCAGGTGCGTGCGTGTAGCGCCGGTGTATCTGATGTTTGTAAGTGAGTGTGTAGCGCTTGTGTTTCTAAGGTTTAGCCGCCTGTACAGTCGAGCATCTGGTTAGGAAACCTCCTCCCGCGCTTCACGTTCGCCAGCAAGTTTGCCCAGTTTCTTGAGCACGTTCGCCCCCCTCCAGCGTTCACAACGGAGATTTGCCCAGGTTCCTTCAAAGAGACTGATGGGAAGTCGGCCCACATTTCTTAGTGCTAATTCGATGCATCATATGTTCGGCTGCAGTGTTCGGGTCTGGCGCTTTTTCCTCCAAGGTCCAAGTGCGTGTAGCATTCGTGTATCTGCGCTCTGGGGTGCCTGTCGTACAGTCGGGGCCCTGAAGAAGGAACCCTTTTCGTTGGGGAGGGGCTCCGTGTTCCTTAAGTGTTTCACAGTTTACCTCAGGTTTTCCTTATGTCTTCGATCGGCCTTATGTCTTCGATCGGAAATCGAAGTTCAACTTACGGAAAAAGGGGCCTCGTTCCTTATTTGGGGTTCCTTAGGTCAACGCCCCGACTGTATGTCTCTTGCTCAGCGGGGCACGCGCGCACTGCATGGGCGCAGACGGCCCCTGGGAGCGACGCGCGCCAGCGAGGGCGCGCGCCGCTCGACGCGCCGGCCGCTTGGCGGTGGCCCAGCTCGCCCTGCCGCGGGGCCGCCCGGAGGTGGCCACTCTTCGCCGGAGAGTGGCCCAGCTCACCGGGAAGTGGAAAGTGAGTGCCAGTTTTTCTTTGGATTCGGGCAAGTCTACTTGCATGGACGGGGGGGGGGCTGAGTCTGAAGCAAGCCGAAAACAACTCGACGTGCGGAAATCGCGCAAGTCGAAAGGCACTTGCACGCTCGTGTTCGATTGAAGAGGGGCGGGGGTGGGGGGGGCAAACGCCATGCAAGTAAGCTTGCCTGGATATAAAGAAAAACAGGCTCTGACCCAGTTCACCGGAAGTTTCGGAGGAGAACAACGAGCCGACGCTCGTGCCTTTCCATCGTCTCCCCACTGTTGGGCCTCCTGGGAGGCCTTCGTCGCCACGGCTGGATATTCGCCTGGAGCTTCTGGTCAGAGCGCACCCCGGGAGAGGTCTGGAGAGTTGCGGCGTCGGTATCTTCTGGTTCTCCCCATTTCGGATGCATATCATCTGAGGTCAAATTCAGACTTTGCCTTGGTCCGAACTCCGGCTTAATCCCGCTTCATCCGGCGCAATCCCGCTGAATCCGCGGCACGATCCGGCGAAGTAGCCCCCCAACGGGGCTTAATCCTCCCTGTTCTTTCCGATAAAGACCGGCCAGTAGTTGCCTCCGAACCCAGCATTCGGGGGCCGATGGCCCATCCCGCACAGGCGAGTGCGGATTCGCCATCGCGAGCCTGTCGCCACTCTATCGGCGATGCATCGCGGATGCTGGCTCGGTGTCCCCCCCCCGTGAGCAAGTCCCCCGGATTTTTCCCCCCTCAGGGGGGCGGGATAGGGACGCGAAGGAGGAGGAGGAGGAGGCATGAGGAGCAGGAGGAGGAGGAGGAGGAGGAGGAGGAGGAGGAGGAGGAGAAAGAGGAGGACGAGGAGGAGGAGGCGGAAGGAGGAGGAGGAGGAGGAGGAGGAAGAGGAGGAGGAGGAGGAAGAGGAGGAGGAGGAGGAGGAGGCGGGAGGAGGAGGAGGAGGAGGAGGATGAGGAGGAGGAGGAGGAGGAGGAGGAGGAGGAGGAGAAGAAGGAGGGGGACCATTGGAAACCCAATGGCCATCAACGATTTTTGGAATACACCCTCCCTCCAAGCTCCGTCTTCATTGGCCCTACAGCGGCTCATCTCCAGTGAGGGGTCTGCCTCGTTGGAAGGCAATCGCTTGAAGACCTGGAAGCACACCATACCACTGTTCTCGGGATTCCAATGCCACGGATCAACCTGACTGTTGCGTCTTGACGATCGTGGATCGTGCCAGAACGCCGTTCTTAGGATTTCAACACCGCGAATCAATGTAATTGTTGCACCCGCAAAATCTGGAATCTATCTAAATCACAACTTCTGGTACGCTCATCGTGGAAATCTGCGAAACTCTTGCAAATTCTATGAGCGAATGTGCGCGGCGCTAATGCGAGAGCCACATTTTGAAAAGGAACCGCCTTCAATCCGTGAAGTGTTTGCAAATGTGTAGAACAAATGCACGCGGCGCTAAGGCGAGAGCCACATTTTGAAAACGAGCCATTTTCAATCCGTGAAGCTCTTGCAAATAAATATAGCGAATGAGCGCGGCGCTAAGGCGAGAGCCACATTTTGAAAACGGGTCAGCCTCAATCCGTGAAGTTCTTGCAAATATTTAAAGCGAATGTGCGCGGCGCTGAAGCGAGAGCCACATTTTGAAAACCACCCGCTCTCCATCGGTGAAACTGTTGCCATTTTTTGAAAGCATCAGAATCATACATGGTGAGGAAGTCTCAGGCGAAACGCCCGGCCCGCCCTAAAAACTTGCCTCGGGGTGCGACAGGGAGGAGTTAGTGATAAGGTAAAGGAATGGAGGAGGAGGAGGAGGAGGAGGAGGAGGAGGCGGAGGCGGAGGAAGAGGCGGAGGGGGAGGAGGAGGAAAAGGGGGTGAGGGAACGATGGCGCCCCTCCACTTTCGCCTGGCTCCCCCCCCACCCCTGCGGGGGGCTGGGTCGGAGAGTTTCGAGACGACCCGATTGCGAGGATGCTTCGCTGAAGCCGCGCTGAGAGCAGACCCCGCCCCTGGCCTGGCCCCCTCTCTGGGGCCAGAGGGGCTAGGCCAGGGGGTTCTTCTGCCCACCTGCGGGAACAGGAGGGAGTCGAAGCGGCGAAATCTGCGCGCAGCAGGTGGCCCTCCAGGCGGAGCAGTCGGCACTCCAGCAGCAGGTCCCAGTCGCGCCAGAGGATCGTCCGCCTGGGCAGTCCATGGAGCACGACGTCATCAAGAACACGGGCGGCCTCACCCTCGGCGACCTGGCGCAGGCTCTCAGCGGTGCTCTGGCCGCTCACCCCGACGACACCATGCAGACCGCGGGCGATTTGCCGCAGCGGCTGGCCTCGGCGCTCGGCGGGCCCCTCCAGGAGCTCATGCTGCGGCGGCAGCGCGAGCGGGCCGCCGCCACGGAGGCAGCGAGCGCCCCTCGCACCCCTGCAGCGTCCGTCGAGGGAGACGACGCCGCCGCCGCCGCGCATGGCGCAGGCACTGCAGGCGGCGCCGCCCCTGCAGCCGCAGCGCCGCGCTGGGATCCCGCCGCGATGGAGCCCGAGAAGCTGCGGCAGACCATGGCGGAGTTCTCGCCAGGGCCAGCAGAGGAGACCAGCGACGCCATGCTGGCGCGCGCCACGGAGCTGGCCGTCAGGGGCTTCAATCCTTACTAAGCTCATCATCGCGATGTCCTGCACACTTGCGATGGCGAAAGGCACTATCACTACCAGCAACGTGACTTCCTGGGGTTCATTGGCGCCGTGCCTAGAGACCCTCGAGTCGCACGTCGTTCTCGTCCAGGAGCATCACCGACGGGACGAGGCGAAGCTCGCCGACCTGCAGCACGAGGTGCTGGATCACGGGTTCGCGGGCATCTGGGCGCCAGCAGTGGCAGGCCCCACCTCCGCGGAGGGCACTACGGGCGGCGTCGCGGTCTTGGCCCGCAAGAACATCCCCGTCACGGCCCCGCCGCTGCTGCCCTCGGCGACACTGTGGCCAGGGCGACTGGTGGCCGCCCACGTGCACTGGGGAGTCCGTGGCGGCATTGTCTTCGTGTCGGCCTACCTGGTCGACAGCGTTGGCATGAACGACGTGAACCGAAGCATCTTCGGCGCGCTCACTCGCTACCTCACGAAGCTCACGGCCTCGGGCATCGATTGGATCGTCGGCGGCGACTTCAATGGGCCTCCCAGCTGCCTGCCCCTGGCGCAGTTGGAAAAGGCGGGGGGCCTCTGGCTAGCGCCGTCGGCCGACACCTGCCGCCCACAGGCGGGCAGCGGCTCGGTGCTGGACTACTTTCTGGTCGGTGCAAACCTGGCCAGCCGCATCTCGGCTCCGAGAGTGGATGAGTTGGGCATCACCTCCCCGCACCTCCCTGTCAACATGGAGCTGCGTGCCGCCGACCTGGACATGCGCGTGAGGATCCCGATCGCCCCCAGGGCGATTCCAGCGGTGCCGCCCATCGGCTGCAGCCGCGGTGTCGAGGACTGGGCGCCCACTTTGGCCCAGGTGCGCGCCACAACCAGCGCCGAGGAGCTGCCAGCAGCCTGGGACGCCGTCGTCAGCACCTTGGAGCAGGAGCTGTTGGACCGCTACGACCAGGTTGGCGAAGCGCGCAGGCGGTTCGAAGGACGTGCGGGGCCCATTGCGACCAAGCTGGCGCCAGTCAAGTGGAAGCCGCAAGGGCAGCGTGTCCGATTGGGGCCTGATGTCATCGCGGCCAAGGTCGCGGGCCGATGGGCGCGTCAC